AATGTATTCCTGTTATTAAGTGATACATGACTCTGTTTGGATGTGTAAAGCAGTGTGGTAGATATTGTGGAAACTAAAAATAATCCTTCTTTTAAAAGTTTCTGCTGGGTACGGTGGCTCACAACTATAATCCCAGCACTTTGGGAAGCCGAGGTGGGAGGCTGTCTTGAGCCCATGAGTTTGAGACCAACCGGGACAACATAATGAAACATCATCTCTAAAAAACATAAGATTAGCCAGGCATGGTGGTGCATGCCTGTAGTCCCAGCTGCTTGGGAGGCTGAGGTGGGAGGATCACTTGAGCCCAGAAGGTCAAGGCCGCAGTGAGCCATTATTGTACCACTGCACTCCAGCCTGGGCAATAGAGTAAGACCCCCATCTCAAAACAACAAAAAAAGTTCCTGTTCCAGTTAGGAGAATGTATATATGTATGTGTGTGTACATATATGTATATATGTATACATATATGTAAAGCACTAGCATTATAATACAGGATTGATAAATCTCTCGTACATAAAATAAGTATTTAATATCATAAAGAGTTGATGTGTAAAGAAAACTGTCTGGATTAAAATGAATGGAAAGGAGACCTGAAAAGAAGGGAGACAAGGGTGCAGTCTTAAAGAATGGGAAGAATTGTAATGGGAAATCTGAAAAACACAATCTAAAAAATGACATAAACCTGATCCTGAGGTAATATATATGCAGTTTGTTTTCGAAACAGTGAGAGCTCAACTGAAGTGTGGAAGGTTCCTATTAGGGATAAGGTTGGAAAGATAAGTTACACAAAATTTTGGAGGATCTTATGACATTCTCAGGAATTTGGACTATTTTGTCCAATAGCTGAGAGCCATTGAAGAGTATAGCTCAAGGAAGCAAATTATTAAAGTGGTGTTTTGGAAAGAGAAATATGCTAGAGATACATGGTTTAGAGAGGGAAACCCACTGTATTGGTTGAGTGCATTCATATGCCCTGTGGTAGAGTACTTTACATATATTGTTTCACTTGATATTGAGAAACTCAAGCAGCTTGTTATTACAATAAATCTAAGAATTAAGTTCTAAGAACTTGAATTGGGATGGTAACACTGGGTAGGAATGAAAAATAGATGTAAGAGACCTATCAAAGAGAGAGTTTCTTTCGGGGTAAATGAGACGTTGCATTTAAGACAAAGTGAGAAGCTGGGCGCAGTGGCTCGTGCCTGTAATCCCAGCACTTTGGGAGGCGGAGGTGGGTGGATCATCTGAGGTCAGGGGTTTGATACCAGCCTGGCCAACATGGTGATACCGCATCTCTACTAAAAATACAAAAATTAGTTGGGCATGGTGGTGGGTGCCTGTAATCCCAGCTACTGGGGAGGCTGGGGCAGGAGAATTACCTGAACCGGGGAAGGTGGAGGTTGCAGTGAGCTGAGATCATGCCACTGCACTCCAGCCTGGGAGACAGAGCGAGACTGTCTCACAAAAAAAAGGACAAAGTGAGAAATAGGAGTTGACTTTAAACTTTTTAACCTAGACACCTAGGGCAGAGATGTCAGTATAAAAACTGAGCAGCAAGATGAGAAGTAGATTTGTGAGACCATGCAAAAAGCTTGATATTAGGCTTGTTAAGTTTAAGAGTGGACTTTTAGGGAAGAAGTCTGAAGTAAAAATTTAATTGTTAGGTTTCCAAGTAAGTATATAAATTTTCATATTCCTAGAAGGCCTAATACACATACACACACACATATACTCTCTGCGTGTGTGTGTGTGTGTGTGTGTGTGTGTTATTCAACGAACTTTCATTATTTACCTTCCATGTTGCAGTATAGGGCAGTGGTTAAGAGCACAGACTTTGGAATCAAAGGGCCAAGTTTTTTTTAATCTTGACTCTACAGCTGACAAGCAGCCAGATGCGGTGGCTCACGCCTGTAATCCTAATACTTCAGGAGGCCAAGGTGGAAGGACTGCTTGAACCCAGGAGTTCTAGATCAACCTTGGCAATAATATGGCAAAACCCTGTCTCTACAAAAAATACAAAAAAACTAGCCGGGCATGATGGCATGCATCTGTAGGTTCAGCTACTTAGGAGGCTGAGGCAAGAAGACCACCTGAGCCTGGGAGGTGGAGGCTGCAGTGAGCCGTGATTGTGCCACTACACTCTGGCCTGGGTGACAGAGTGAGACCCTGTCTCAGAAAACAAACAAAAAAACCTGACAAGCTATGTGATCCTAGGCAAGTTACTTATTTTTTTAATTTCTGTCTTTTAATTTTCTCATATGTAAAAATTGGGATTTCAGGGTTGGGTGTGGTGGCTCACTCCTGTAATCTCAACACTTTGGGAGGCTGAGGAGGGCAGATCACGAGGTCAGGAGATTGAGACCATCCTGGCTAATACGGTGAAACCTCATCTCTACTGAAAATACAAAAATTAGCCAGGCGTGGTGGTGGGCGCCTGTATTCCCAGCTACTTGGGAGGCTGAGGCAGGAGAATGGCATGAGCCTGGGAGGCAGAGCTTGCAGTGAGCCAAGATGGCACCACTGCACTCCAGCCTGGGCGACAGAGCAAGACTCCATCTCAAAAAAAAAAAAAAAAAAAAAAAATGAGAATCTCATATATTAGTCATGCAAACTAAATATTAAATTAATTTATGAAAGCACCTACAACAGTGTCTGGCACATTGTAAGCAAATACTGTGGAAATGTTTGCTCTTATTATCATCATCACATCATTTTCACTATTATTTGCCAAGCTTTGTTGAGTACAAAGATGAGTAACAAAGTTGCTCACCATCCAGTGGGGGAGACAGAGCTTGACATATAAAGAGATAAATATTTACGTGGATTAAGGGTAACTTAAAGTATATTTTCATTTAATGATTTATGTCTTTGTGATCTTAAATATTGTGGAAAATTTTTACTATCCATCATTCAGATTATCTTGAGTAAGAACTGAAGAATAGTTTAGGCATGAAATTATACAAGTAGGTGTTTTCTTGAAAAGTTTTGTGTAAACTGAATGTCGGCTAACTTTATAAATGTGATCATTGTTTCATCTTAATCTCAATTATACTCACAATTTGTTTTTCATCAGCACTAATATGTATAACTTTCCCCTTTAATTACATTTGACCTAGAAGACTGGCCACTAGTCATTTTGTTTATCATTCTTTAGTTGGTTTTTTTCTTACGTTGTTGGGGGGATGGTTGGGCAATAATTTTAAGCTCCACAAGATACTTTAAAGTAAGCATAATAATTTATTATGTTTTGTTTTTATCACTCAAAGCTAAAACAATATATTTGGCTTTATCTGTCATGGAATTAATGATACATACTCAAACCCCTCATAGTCAGTGAACCTGTATTTATGAAATCACTGAGTTAGAATAACCGATCTCCCTCGTAGTCTGTCAGTTCTGTGATGACAGCAACTATGTTTGCCACCACATATCTTGCACCTGGCCTGTAACGAATGTTCAGTAACTATTTGTATAATTGAATAGTGGATGGCATTGCTTTTTGTTTTATATATTTATAACAGATTACTTGCTATTTTTAACAACTATTCACTCAACAATAGGACACTTGAGAGGCTTACCAAATTTGTAGGCTGTTTGCTGGCTCCTTTGAAAAAAATCAAAGCTTAAGTTATTTTGGAAGATCTAATCTGTTGATTGATTTCAGAAGCACAAATAAGGTCAAAGGATAAAAGCCAATACTGAATCAAGAATTTCACCTGAGCCAAATCCAAATTAATTCTCTCCTTGGAAATAATGATACAGAAATCATCCATAACCATCCATAACCCTAAAAGTTCACACACAGTGTGATGTGAAGAAAAGCTTTGAATGTCATTGATTCATTATATGTAATACTCACAAATTTATCTGATCTTTGTTCAGATTAAGTTATTTTTAATGCTACGTTGTATGTACCCTTAACCTGAAACTCTTGAAGTGACTTTTGACTAAAAGCAGTATAATACTTATATGTTGAACAACAACAAAGAAGACAGTTCTGTGCATAAGATAATTTTAGGTAATGAAGCATAAATGATATGAATGAGTAAAATACAGTACATTTACAACCAAAACATGAATAAGAATTCTAACTGTACCGCACTGAAGTGATACTGGAGTAATTAATGTTACCTTAAATTTCTAAGAGTTGAGCTCCCCTAAAAAGCACTGTATATGAATCTTACAAATGCATACTAAGGCTGGGCATGGTGGCTTATGCCTATAATCCCAGCACTTTGGGAGGCCGAGGAGGGCGGGTTCTTTGAGCTCAGGAGTTCGAGACCAACCTGGGCAACATGGTGAAAACCCATGTCTACTAAAATACAAAAAAGTAGCCAGGCATGGTGGTGCATGCCTGTAGTCCCAGCTACTCAGGAGGCTGAGGCACAAGAATCACTTGAGCCTGGGAGGCAGAGGTTGCAGTGGGCCAAGGTCATGCCACTGCACTTCGGTTTGGGCTACAGAGTGAGATTCCGTCTCATTAACAAAAAAAATACATACTATAGCTAAGAAGCACAGTAGCTTACGAGATTTTGTAGTAATAAATACTGTATCTTTTTGATATGAGTATGCTTTTATTTTAGTGTCTAATAGTATCTCAAAATAATATTGAAGATACTTTTGTACTTTTAAAATATGTGTTTTTGTTTTTTTTAGTTTGGCAAAATATACATAACAAAATTTACCATTTTAATTGTGATAAAATTTTTTAAATTATAAAATACACGTAAAACTTACCACCTTAACTATTTTTAAGTGTACAATTCAATAGTGTTACCTATATACACATTGTGCAACTGATCTCTAGAATATATGTGTATTTTATTAAAAAGAAATAAATGAGTCCTTTGAGGTATGGTCTATTAGTAAGTGACTTTATTTGCACATGAAGATGATATTTTTGTTCAAATCATGAACATGTATCTTGCTAATAAAGATTCTGTTTTCTATTTGGAACAATTATATTAATGGATTTTTTGGTGCTGTCTTTTGATTAATAGGAGTGAGCTGAGTCGACAGAAACTTCATACCCAAGAGCTGCTTTCTCAGCTGGAAATGGCAAATAAAAAGGTAGTTGAGGTAAGATAATGACTCCCCTGGGAAGTGCTTTCTGCTGCAGCTTGATACACATGTTATAGAATTTTACCTGAGCCAAATCCAAATTATTTCTCTACTTGGAAATAACAATACAGAAATCATCCATAACCCTAAAAGCCGACACGCAATATAATGTGAATAAAAGCTTTGAACGTCAGTGATTCATCATATGTGAATAATAAAAGGTAGAGCTCTTATTTCTGTTTTACCAATAGAACTTTTATAGTATTTCAGAGAATGTATTAGGATCCCCTTTATTCTTATGCATCTCTAAAATTATTTTTAACCCATTCGTCTTTTTTCATTTTAATCCATCCCAAAAGACACATCACATAAAAAATACTTTTGCCTACTGTAATATATTAAAATATATTTAGATTTATGCCTTAGAACTAAATATAGCAAGAGTTCAAGTTTTGTTCCTTGAGGCGTTCAAAAAGTAAACAATTTTTGGATTATGATTGGGGCTTTTTAGATCTCTTCATTTGATGTTCATCTTCATTTGAGATTCTAACTTCAAATGTTTGTTGGAATTTTCCTGAGTATATGGTCTACTCCATCTTTGTGGTCTACTATAGGAACTATAGTGAAATCATTACTCCTAAGCATCATGGCATTATGAATTGATATGAGCCATTTAGAAATTATTTAAGGAATAGCCGTTAAAATAATCTTTCAGGTAGCTCCCACTTCCATATATCTTTTCTGATGAAGTAATTTACAATACAGAAAAATTTAAAAGAAGATATTCAGTACAGTAATGTTAATAATATAGGAAGATCAAAAGCAACCAAAATGAAAATAGAAAAGGAACAGTTGCATATATTAGGATTTCTCCTATCTAAACTGTTCCTCAACCATTATGATAGCAGTATAGAAGAAGTTGCATTATATGAAGTCTGATTATAAATATGAAAATGATTATTACAGATGATAGAATTTTTCCCCCATGTTTTCTCTAGCATGTGATGTGCTTCTTAAAATTTAAAGGCTACAGATTTAAACATCTTGGTAAATTGGACCAGCCAATATAGTTCTCTTCATAACATTTAATTTTACTTTTGGGCATAATAAGAAATATAATAAGCTCATTTTAGCAGGATACTGTTATTTCAATATTTTATATTACTGTCATAGCCATAACATTCATTCTTATCACTTGTATGTTAGTACATGGGAACTATAAGTTTCTGATTCTTCATAGAAAATGTGTTTTTCAAAAAAAAAAAAAAGAAAAAGAAAATGTGTCTTTCTAACTCTTCCTGATTAGGCTTGTGTTATTATCTCATTCAGATAAGTGCCAGAAAAACTGTTTAACAATTCTAGTTGTACAAAAATACTTTTTCAGATGTACTATAACCAGGCTAGTAAGTATGGAGATAGCTAATCCGTTTTTTAATTGATAAATTATTTGGACTTGTCTGCATGACAGTATGTTGTGACAACTTTGTATTCATGATGCCTGTATAGTTCTTGCCATAACAAAGTATTAGAAACTGGGTGCCTTAAACAACAGAAAATAATTGTCTCTTAGTTCCAGAGGCTAGAAGTCCAAAATTGAGGTGTTGACATTGTTGGTTCCTTCTGAGAGCTGTGAGGGAGAATCTGTTTCATGCCTTTCTCCCAGCTTCTGGTAGCCTCAGACATTCCTTGGCGTGGAGATTGTGTTCTCTCTGTGTTCAACTTGTCTTTCCTTTGTACATGTATGTTTCTGTGTCCAAATTTCCCCTTTTATGAAGACATCAGTCATATGGATTATGGTCCACCCTAGTGATCTCATCTCAGCTTGATCATCTGCAAGGACTCTATTTCCAAACAAGGTCATATTCATAGGTACTGGGGTTTAGGACACAATTTAACCCATGACAGTACCTAATAGCTGTGTTGACCCTAATAGACGCTGGAGTATGCAGATGTCTTGGGGAACATACAGAAATAGTTCATCCCAACCCTACTAAAGCTCTGGTTGTAAGGCCCGGCAGTCTGTGTTTTCACAGTCCAGGTGATTCTGAAGCAGTGATCTTCACAAATTGAAAGTCTTATTCTTCCGAGTCATTTTGCTTTGAGATTTGTTAATTCACTTTCTTTGCTGGCATGTGGGAGAAAGAAAACAATTTATTAAGAATGTAAAGCTAAGTTTTATTTTAAAGTTCATAACTTGAAAAAATGTAAATTTTGAGATAATATTATTTGTATTTTATAAGTGGTAAAATGATGTCCAGGTTTTTCATTGATTATTCCACAAAACATCTCCATATCACATATGGATTTCTAACTTGTTTTCTATTTCCCCTTAATAGAATGAAAAGCTAATTCTAGAGCATCGAGAAAAAGCCAACAGACTTCAAAGGCGTCTAAGTCAGGCAGAAGAGAGAGCTGCTTCAGCTTCCCAGCAGGTAGGGAGCATCCTCTTATCCCTAGATAGTAAACAGTTCAAAGATAAGATAAGTTTTTTAGAAGTTCCCAGAGAACTTAATAGTTTATTTTTACTAGATTAATATATTTTAAAATTAATCCCTTTAATATGTGAGGTTGAAAAAGTAAACATTGGAAACAAAAATAAGCTCTGCGTGGTGGTTCGCAACTGTAACACCAGCAATTTGGGAGGCCTAGGCAGGAGGATCACTAGAGGCCAGGAGTTCAAGACCAGCCTGTGAAACATGGCAATACCTTTTCTCTACAAAAAATTTTAAAAATTAGCCAAGTATAGTGGTGCATACCTGTAGTTCCAACTACTCAGAAGGCTGAGGCAGGAGGATGGCTTGGGCCCAAGAAGTCGAAGCTGCAGTGAGCCATGCTTCTACCACTGCACTCCAGCCTGGCGGACAGAGTGAGACCCTGTCTCAACAAAAAAAAAAAAAAAAAGAAAGAAAAGAAATATACTGTCTTAACTATCATAACCTCTAGCCACAGGCCACTATTTATATTTAAATTAATTTAAATTAAATAAAATTTAAAATTGAGATCCTCAGTCATACTAGTCAGATTTGAAGTGCTCAATAGCCGTATGTAGCTAGGGCTATCACATTGGACAGCGTAGATATGGAACATTTCTGTCATAACAAAAAGTTCTGTTATACAACACTGCTCTGGAATTATATTCTGTCTGAAACTAGGCAGATATTCACTAACAGATTTGAAAGCAGATAATATTGCTTTGAAAGTAATATTTCAAATTCTCTGCCTTTGTTTTTATTTTACTTTTCAGTGGAAAAAAAAATTCCTTGGCTTACAGGTTAATTTACTTAATGCATATTTTCATATGACCAAAAAAAATCTAAAATATAATATAAAAGTTGTCCAGTGGGAAATAGAGTAGAAAATGCAGAATATCAATGAAACACTAAGGGATAATTTCTCTTAATACACACACATTATATAAATGAAGTGGGCCCATGATTATAAAGTAGGAGCAATAGTCCCTCTTATGAGGAACAAAATGAGACCAGTTCAGTGATTATAAAGATAGACTAGAAACAGACAGTTGAAATGGATGGATACATAGGGCAGGCAAGAAAACAAAAACAAATCAAATTACTATATTATTAATTATATTTGCTTATAAATGTATTATTTCAATCAAAATTAATATTCTTAACTACTACAGCATTTTATACATAGTAAAGCCACTCTGCTTGCTGAATTCAGTTTATGTTCATGATATTTACAGATTTTTTTAAATCTACTTCTGTTATGAACATGGCATGCCACTTAAAGAAAATTTAGTAATAATTTATCCTTCTGTTCCTCTCCCTCTTGAAAGTAATTACAGCCTTGTCAAATAATTTTTATGTCTGATGAAGTTATGAATTAACTAATGGGTTAGCCAATTATTTAAGAACTTATTTAGGTTATAAGGTAACAGAAGTTAGGTGCACTGGACAGTATCTGGAGAGTATGTGTTTTGGTGTCAGGCAAATCCCTTAGTGCCATTTAGTGCCATTAAGTAGTCATGTGACTTTGGGCAATTTCAACTTCTCTAAGCCTCAGTTTCCTCATGTTTAATATAGGATAATAACACCTCCCTCATATGGTTATTAAAGGATCAAAAGAATTAACACATGTAAAGCATTTCCCTTAGTGATAAGTAGATATTTAGAAGGATATATAAGAAATTAAATTTCTATATCATAATCTTTAAAGCTTCTCATTTACCTTTTTTAAGGCAAATGGCAAAGAAAATGTCTACGTAAAATCAGCTACCTTGAGTTCTATAGTAAAAACGGTACAATTACAGGACATTAATTATATAACCAGTTAGCATCTAGATTAGTTTCTCCCCTGAAAAAATTAAACCTAAACAGTCTAGTACTGATGTTTCTTCTGTTGTTTAAACTCTCCAATGGGAAAGATTCCACCATTCTTTTAAGTAACCTTTTTAAAATGTTTTGTCAGTAACCACTTCACAAATTGTTCTGTAACAAATCTTTCCCTAAGCTTGTCTCCTTCCCTTCTGTTCCTATTTGAAGATGGAAGGTAATCATTTGGCACTTTCCCCTTACCCAAAAAGGAATTTCTTCCCTGGAGTTAATATTTGTTCTGTTTTATATGAGTCCAGGTGATCAACTTTGTTTGTAAGATGTACATTTTATTTTTTTAATTTTTATATTTGCCCTCTCTGAATCTTCTAATTTTCCTATAAAAACTGAAAAAGTGCTATTAGAAATAATATCCTACTAAATGCATAATATTAACAAAATGAAGAAAAATTTTAAAATTATTATCGTCTCTGACACATCACACTTACCATAGTGCAGTGTAGCATCGTGTTACTGGTTCAATACAAGCCCTGAATCATGCTGATTCACTTTGCTCTAAATGTGCTTTTCTGATTAACTTTCTCTACATGTTATTCATCCATTCTAAGTGTATCACTCTAAATGGTTGAATGCCATACTGTGATCTTTCAACATATGAGTTTTTTAAATCAGTGTGGTGAAGCCTTTCAATGCAAGAACACAAAACCTAGAAGCTAAGAAAAATAATAATAAATATGTTCACAGTTTCAAATATCTGTATCAGATAAAGTCAGTGACAAACCGAGAAAAATATTTGTACCATATATGACAAAAGGCTAATGCCCTAAATACATACAAAGGATGCCTAAGTTTTCAAAAAATGCTACAGTCCAGTAGACAAATATATAAAGGAAGTTTATGGAGAAAGAAGGACAGATGGCTTTTAAACATTTAAAAAAATGTTCACCCTCACCTATAAGACAAATACAAATTTAAACTGTAATCACATCATTTTTCACCTATCAGATCGTGAAGTTTGGAAATGCATTGTGCTGGCACTCTCACACGTTATTGATGTAAGCACATGTTGGTACAGTCCCCAGAGCACAATTTGGCAGTGTCTTTCAAAAACTGTAAATGTATGTAACCTTTGACCCATACTTGCACCTGGAAACATTTTTGCCAGGAAGCAAACATGTAAAAATACTGATTGAAGCATTGTCTGTCATTTTAAAAGATTAAAAACCATACAAATACCCAACAATAGCAGACTAGTTAAATTATGGAGTATTCATACAGAGGAATAGTTTGCAGCTATTAAGAAGAATAAAGTATAATAGTCCTAATATAGAGCTCTTTCTAAGGTAGATAATTTAGAAGAAAAGAAAACAAGATGAAAAGTGTTTCTAATTCTTTCATCATTTTTTAAATAAAAGGAAAGAAGAAATACATATATTCTCATTTAAAATATTTCTGGAAGCATACTTTACTGGAAATACTGGTTGTATCTGGAGAGGCGTCTGGAATGAAAGACTGCAATGGGAATGAGACTTCCTTTATGCTGTCTACCATTTCGTACTGTTAGATCTTTTTTTTACCATGTGTATATATTATCAATTCTTACTAACATTTAAAGATTATTTTTCTAATAGACTTTTCTTGTTAAGATCTATCATCACTTTATTATCAGCCTTGCATTGTGTTGGCTCACATTAGTTTGTGTTTTAGAAACTTTCCTGATTAACTTTTATCTAGATGGTTTTCATCCATCTGGAATATGTTTTACAATTCTAAGCCTATCAACCCTGAGCTATCGAATGTCTTATTTGACCTGCATTTCTCTAATGTAATAGACATTTTAAAGTTTTAAGAGTAAAATAGATATTAATTTTAAAATGATCACTGACTGGGCACAGAGGCTTACACCTATAATCCCAGTACTTTGAGACCAAGGTGGGTGGATTGCTTAAGCCCAGGAGTTCAAGGCTGGTCTGGTCAATGTAGTGAGACCCTGTCTCTGAAAAAAATTAAAATTAACCAGGCAAAGTGACTACTGAAGAGGCTGAAGCAGAAGGATCACTTGACTCTGGGAGGTCAAGGCTACAGTGAGCTGTGATTGTACCACTGTACTCCATCCTGGGCAACAGAGCAAGACTGCCTCAAAAAGAAAAAGATCGTTTACAAAACCCTTTCCAATAAGACCGTTTTCAGTACTTATAGGTTGTGATGCATTCTACTTTGTATTAATCTAAGATTTTCCACAGAAAAAGTAACTACTTACCGATTGTTTATTTTAATTGCAGCTCAGTGTGATTACAGTGCAGAGAAGAAAAGCAGCCTCCCTGATGAATCTGGAAAATATTTAAAAATATTCATAGTTCATTCACAGAACTTTAGAGTTGGGAAAGCAGTTGGACTAGAAGTGTATTGAAATGGTAAAGCCTGCAGAGTATAATAGTTAAGGCTTGTGTTATTTTGCGTAAGCATTGTTATTCTGTTTTGAGGGTTATTGGAAAACAGAGCAGTGACCATTTCCTGTAAGTAAAGAAAATATAATCCTATATTGAGCTTCAGTGGAGAATAAACCAGCTGAGAAGAACTCATTGCCTTCATCAACGTGTCTGTTTTTTAATTCCTCCTTTTTCCCTTGAAAGGCTATAATAATTTTCAAACTATGCAAATTTCTCTTTCATAAGAAAGAGTTTTTAAGAAAATTCTAGAATTTAATATTTCAGTTTCCAAGATTTGAAAATTTTACATCTAATTGTTACTTCTAACTCATTTTTAAAGTTCCTAAGTATCCATTTTATTATGAACTCATAAATGTAATAAATTGTGCACTTTCTAAAACAATGCTGTCATGTATTTTAATGTATGATTGTAGTGCTTCATTTTTAACTTACAGTTTTCAGTATTTATGAAACTTGATATTTAAGAATTTGGAAGGAGTTTTTTACATGTTACTTAAAGCAATACTAATCAAATGGAGATCTTAGGTGCTAAGACTGCATGGCATTGAACTATTGAAGTCCTATTGATCTTCATAGATACGTGTACCTATTCTCTGGTTTGAACTTAGTGCACCCTGGTTTCTGTTGGTTAAAGCAGAGAGGTTTGCATCTGGATAACCAATCAGGAGACTGCTGCAGTTTTCCAGA